TGGTCCTGGGTCCTTGGTTACACAAACAAGAACATTCTTCTTATAGTTAGTTTTAATTACTTTTTCTTTTCTTTTCAATTGTGTATGCCTGTAATTCTTTTTTTTTAATAACATGCATTGTTGTTTGTTTTACATTTATTGTTTAAATTTGACCAGACTCAAATTGAGTCTGCCAATATTGTTTGCAGGAAAAATGTTCCTTCGAGCTCATAAATATTTAATATGAAATGTCTTGACACATCATACATAAAGTGGTAATACCTGCAACATAATGGTGACTAATTTCTACTCATAAATACTATTATCCCACAACAGATTTAAAGTCTTTGAGATTGTTGGCACACAGAAAAAACTTCAGTTTAGAAAAGACTTTTAAATAGAAATAAGCTTTAGTTGAGAAAAGATTTTTATTGGTAGCAAAGATTTACTGTCTTTTTTGTTGTTATTGGAGATGATTCATTTGAAGTCGTTGATATATGATTGTCAGTGAAAATTCACTGACCATCCAAGCTATTGTTGTTGTAGCTGATTTGTTTGTAGTCACCAACATGTGTTTCCTTCAGCCTGTGCTGAGGGGGAAGGAAAAAGTTATGTAATCACATCTTCTCTGGCTTGGAGACAATTGCATCTCTGCTCTGTGAAAGTCAAAGTCTGTGTTTTTTTAAGAAATTTTCCCTGAAAGTAGGCTCAAGAAAAATAGGGTTTTAGTTTTCTCTGATTGGACAAATATTTCACGTTTCTAACCAATAGACACTTTAATTTAAATGATGTGCATTGTATTGTTTAATCTTTTTGGCATGTTTGTAATATTGTCTGTTATTGGGGAAAATGAAGTTATTTTATTTTGTATAATAGTAATAAGAATTAACTAAAAACTCCATTAATTATTTTAAATAAGTGAAACTCAGGAGTTGGTTATGGAGATAAGTCAGTTGAACATTTATTGATTTATTATATATATATTACATCAAACACTGTTTTATTAACACCAGCACTATATGTAGAACATATTATGTGTGTGTGTGTGTGTAGAAAAATAGGAAAGAACACATTAGGTAAATAATCCGAAGTTCTTTATCATTTTTTTTTTTTATTTTTAAAAAACAGTGCTCAATACAAAAGTAGAGCCTAAATTATATATATATATATATATATATTGTACATATAGTGCTGGTGTTTTATTACTGTTTTATTAACACCAGCACTCTGTATGATATAATTATATATATATATATATATATAATTATATTATTACATAATAATTATATATATATATATATATATATATATATATATTATAATATATTGTACATATAGTGCTGGTGTTAATAAAACAGTGCTTGATGTAATACAACAGAGCTATTAAGTATATATTAATAAATATACATATTGTCTCTCACTGATATTTATTAATGTGTGTGTATGTGTGTGTATATATATATATATATATATATATATATGTGTATATAAATAAAAAGAAAGAACAGTAAGATATATAATCCGGTGTTCTTATAGATATTTTTATTTTTACAAAATAGTGCTCAATGTAAAAAGCATTAGTTCCATTTCATCCTCAAGCAAAACTTGAGGATGAAATGGAACTAATGCTTTTAATTTAATTGCAAAATTAAATTCGGGGCTTTTAGCTTCTATTTTTGAAACATGGTTAGAACTGTGTAGCGGAAAAAAACATATTTTAAATCAATTAATTTATAATATATATATATATATATATATACATATAAGTACAGACGATCCTTAAAAACCCATTTGGTTATAATTTATTTCATGAATATCCAAATTTTCATCTCTCCAGACCAAAGTTTTTTAATAAATATAATCAATTTGTTCAGACCTTTTGAAAAGGAAGAGGAAAAAAGAAAAAAAGGAAAAAAAATTTATATTAAAAGAGGAAGAAAGAAAAATAAAAATTTCAATATAAGGTTTAAAAATTTTTGCAGGGGGTGGAGAGAAAAAAGAAAGAGAGAGGAGGAAGAGAAGGGAAGTAGAGCAGAGAGAAAAGGTGAGCATGAGAGTGGGAGGAAAAGAAAAAAAGGAATGAAGAATTAAACATGAGCCGATGGGGTGACTTAGAAATAATTTTTTCTTTAAGGGCTGAATAAGTTAATATACAGAGTAAGAGAGGGGTTGATCAGGCTTAAAATAGATTAATGTGTTGAATAGTCATTTTTGACAGCAATGGAACCATCATCACATTATAATCATCACAATTTCAAATTAATGATAATAATAATGATAATAATAATATTTTGAAATCAATAAAATAATGTAAGTTAAATAAAATAAAAATTTAAAATATATAAAAAAATATTAATTAAATAAATTAAGAGATAAATAAAGAACAAATTTAAAAGAACTTAAAATATATATATATATATATATATATATATATATATATATATATACATATATATATATATATATATATATATATAGATATATATATATATATATATATATATATACATATATATATATATATATATATATAGATATATATATATATATATATATATATATATATATATATATAGATATATATATATATATATATATATATAGATACATATATAGATACATATATATATATAGATAGATAGATAGATAAGAATGAAAATAATAATAATAATCAAATAATAAAGATAATATTATCAAAAATTAATAAAATATTTAATAATTTAAGATTTTAACTGATGTAGACAGGAAAATTAAATAAATGATCATATACAAAAATGTGAGTACATGTTAGTACCCATATAAACAGAATCAACACTTCAAGTGTATATTCTCCAAAATCAAAGTTTTTATGGAAACATATAAATCTGTTCTTGCATTTACACTTGAAGTTAAGTTCATTCCTTTGATTCAATAATTTGTTAGCATTTTTTATACTTAATCGTTATGATTTTTTCCTGTATGCATAGATTGCATCTGTCCTGGAAGTTCTTGGGATTCTGAAATTTACAGATGATCCTCCATTTGATTTGTGGGATGATGCCTCCATGTTTAAGATTCCCAAAATATTTGGATAGAGCAGTTTGAAATCTTAAAAAAGTTGGGGACAAATCTTTACAATCACCGGCATTCTTTTCTTTAAGATATCAAACTTCTTGTTTAGTTCTTAATTTTAGTATTGCTCAGTTATTGCTTGCCGTGTTTTACACACAATCTAACACAGGCATTGAATTCACATTGAATTCACAATCACAATGTTACCAACTTCACAAACTAATGTTTTAATCCACTAGATTATTGTTAATGTATTTTATTTCAAATTATAAGTGGACATTTTTTATCAGTTTTAAAATTTTTTAAATTGTTTGCTGCCTCATTTGCATATCTTTCACTTCTCTGTCTCACACACACACACACATATAAATATAAAATAGTATGCAATGAGTGCTGGTGGTAATGAAAGAGTAATGAAAATAACAGAACTAAAATTTATACTAAGAATAAAAATAAATAATCAGTTGTTCCACACTATTCAATTAATCTGTGACTTCCTGAATTTCCCCCTCTCTGTCTCTCTCTATTACCACACACACACACACAAATTCAATTGAACTCTGACTTCAATGCATATAACAATAATGAGGCAGAAATAAAAAAAATGACCATTGTAAGAGCTCAATATATATAGTCTAGTGGCAAGATAGTGGAGTAGTATATTTATTTAGTTTATTTATTTTTACATTTATGGAAAAAAATAAATTTGTAAAAATGAATTGATTAAAATAAATAAATAAATAAATATATATATATATATATATATATATATATATATATATATATATATATATATATATATATATCTATATCTATCTATATATATATATATATATATATATATGTGCATATATTCATTCTATCTATCTATATATATATGTGTGCATATATATATCTATCTATCTATATATATATATATATATATGTGTGCATATATCTATCTATCTATCTATCTATATATATATATATATATATGTGTGCATATATCTATCTATCTATCTATATATATATATATATATATATATATATATATATATGTATATATGTGTGCATATATATCTATCTATCTATCTATCTATCTATATATATATGTATATATGTGTGCAGAGGGAAAATGTTTATTTTACACACACACACATGCGCATAGCATATTTTCATTAAAAAAAAATTCCAAAATTTTCTTTCAAATTTTTATTTTCCCAAGTACAAATTTTGTAATTTTTTTAATCAATTTTCTACAGCCACCAGGAAATTAATTTGTGAACTTGAACTTGAAAGAATTAAAACTAAAATAAATATGCGTCTAATTATTTGTGTATGTAGAAACAAAGAGAGAAATAAAATTTGTAGGATATAACTACGGATAATGTAAGTTATATATATATATATATATATATATATATATACTAATTTTCACACACACACATACATACATACACATATGTAGAGAGATAACGTGTATGCACATTTAAATAAAAGCTCACAAAAATATATACACACACACACATTTTACATCGGATTAAATATACTAAAGGGCAGATAATCGAAGAATAGAGAGCTACTGTTCGCACCTAGCGGTAGAAATGATTATCAAGGGCAACTAATTCACATTGCTAGTAGCGCACAATTAATAAAGAAACAAGAATGTGTTGATGATGGCGGACTAATAACATCTGGATTTTCCGGATTGCTCCTCGGACACGGGATTATTTAATACCACAACGTCTACTGTTTTTCCCAATTTTCTTTTCTTTTAAATGAAGTGCCGCCGATCTTTCTCGATGAGCAGGAAAATCTTCTTAGCGTTGTTGGTGTGTAGTGCAGCTATACTCGCACCGAGTTGGACTGCTAGCGAGGATCTGTATTCTGTTTTGGGTGTAAGTAAAACAGCCAGCACCCAAGAAATACGCACAGCTTACAAACATTTAGTCAAAATGTGGCACCCTGAAAAAAATAAGGACCCTATTGCCATGGACAGATTCACAAAAATCAACGAGGCTTACGAAACGTTGGGGGACCCGGAAAAGCGATCTCTCTACGACATGCACGGGTACACAGTCACTCAGGAGGAACCACACCCTCGCAAGAGCAGTAGCAACAATAACCGCGGATATACGAATTTCAGATCGGGTCCGTTTGGATCTTACAACTTGATATCGGGAGCCGAGTCGATTATCGACAAATATATGATAACGCAGAGGTTTTACGAGACCCGCATCCAATTAGAGAGCTTTCGCGTACCTTATTTCATATATGCTTACGCCGACGGGTGTCTCATTTGTCTCCATTACGAACCCTTGATAGAAAAACTGATTAAGGAAATTGTCAAAGTCGGAATAGGGATTGGAACCATCCATGTTTCGTCCAACCGAGCACTGGGCAGCAACCTTCGAATCAATGAAGTGCCCCAGATAATGGCAGTTGTCAACGGACGCATCACCTACTTTAAACGTCAGGTTTCGATGCAGAATCTCCGGGATTTTATCCGTAACCTCTTCCCGCCCAGTACAATCCAGTTGATAACCGATAAGAATTTTGACGAATTTCTTCATTCCTGGTCGGACAATCGGATGCGCGCATTGTTTTTCAGTCCCAGAGAGAAACCTCCCTTACGCTTCCTAATGCCAGCTTTCAGTCGACGGGAAAAGATCGCATCCAGGTTCGTGAATACGCGGAGTCCCCTAGTGGAAGGTATCCTGCGTAGGTACAACGTGAACAAAGCCAAAGATACTCTCCTGATGGTTGGTGAGTCTAGCAATTCCACTGTTGCCGTAGTTACTATGCGTACTTTGTCCAAGGGTAGCATTGATGAAGTAATGGAGGCTAACCAGTACCTCACCCTGCCCCGTCTCTCATCACAGGTATTCTTTGATGAGCTGTGCCCAGTTGAAATCCGGGTCAAACGAAGAAAGCTCTGTGTGATTCTTGTGACTAAGAAGATTCAAGAACATGATATATACAGGTCCTTATTCCGGACATATGTTCAACATGCTCCAAACTTCCAAGAACGTGTAAAATTTTTGTACCTGTATGAAGAGACTCAGTATAGATTTGTAAACGCCTTGATGAATGGAAGCGAACCACAGCAGGACAAGACAAACCTGAAGTTAGCCATTTTGTGGCGTATGGATAAAAAACACTTGAACTATGAATGGGTTGAGCCAGGCTGGAGTAATATCCTGGACCACAATGAACTCACACGTCGAAAGCTAGAAAAACGTCTCAGTGAACTCTTCACAAACGCTGACAGGTTGTTATATACAGCCATGTTACCCGATTTGCACAATGAACACGCCCTGAATTTACTAGTACGAATAGTCCACCGCTTCTTTGACTGGTTTGACCGTATCTTTATTTTTGTGACTAACTATGACAGTAAAATGTGGCTTAGTATGATCTTCACATTGGTGTCCGTTGTCATTGTGGGGTTCCTGATGCGACAAATGCTTAACGTAGAAATGGAAAAGGTCATGAGACAGACACGGGCCAAGGAAATTAAAACTGTCTCACTACCTTCAACCAGGCCACCTTCTCGGGGACCTGACAATACCTTACAACTCTACGAACTTACTCCAGCCACATACAGTGACCTTGTGAAGGAAGCCGACCCCGGATTTACAATTACAGTTCTTCTTGACAAGAACTCTCAAAAAATTCTTATGTCTCGGTTTTTGGGAATTATGGAATCATATTCAAACTCAAATTCATTGACTTTTGCCTATCTTCAATTAGATGACTATCTTGGTTGGTATCGACACCTACTTGAAGAAAGTATAGAATTCAGAGTACAGTTGTCTAATATTAACATCCGGAATTGTATTGGTACAGTTCTGGCCATAAATGGACATCGGCAGTATTATTATATATATCATGCAAAGAGCGCCAGAAAGTGGATGCGTCAAGTCAACACAGGACGAACAGTTGGTATGTTTGATTCAGATTCGGATTCAGATGACACCCAGCCACACCATATTCTTGTGGAAGAACTCTTGGATGGTTTGGATAGCTGGATGGATAAAATATTTGATGGGCTGGTGCGTAAAATTCGGGTACCTTATTGGCCTGATTTGAACTTGTAATCTAAGGCCATCACTCTTTTTATTTTCTATTTATCTTTATTTATTTATTTATTTATTTATCTATTTGTAATTCTTCAATATGTTGTTTGTTCTGATTGTGATTTCTTTATTGATTCATGCTTCATTTTAACGACTTGGAGACATGTTCTGACTAATTCCTGCATCTTTCTGTTTGGGTGGGGTTAGTAAACTTTTTTTTTTATTGAATTCTGGTTAAAAAAAAAAAAAAATAATTGAGAAATTTCTCTTTCCAGTAAGAGATCAACAGATTGGTGATTGAGATGTTTAAATAATCACTAACTTTGTCCCATAATATTTGTTACATTTCTATACAGATTTTGTACTCCAAATATAGCAACTATTATTGGACAGAGGTAGTATCACATCTGAAACTATGGTTAAGAGACTGGATCAAACAGACTATTGTAGAAACCAGAATTCTTTATATGATAATTTTGCAAGTAATATAGATAGCTCAAAATCAAAATGAAAATGAGATGTAAACATTGCAAAATTAATGGAATGGACCATGATTTTTTGTTAAAGTATTTTTCTTTTATTGAAGCTTTCAACCTTCATGATTTCAAACTGTTTCATAAACAAGTTCATCAAAGTCTGAAAATTTACTGCTCAAGGATTGAGTTGGGCTGGATTCTTAGACAATATTCTTATTATTCTACTCCCCGCCCCCAAATTCTGATGATTAAATAGCAAAACATTAAATTTATTAAGCTTTTTGTACTTGTATTATTTATACTATTTACATTGTTTGAACTTCTGTCCTCATCTTTGTGGCCATATTTATGACATTCCAAAGACACATGGCCCAGTGGATAAAAGTGTTGGATTCAGTGATTTGACCCAAAGAGTTGTGAGTTCAACATCTAGCTACTGCAGTGGTGAACAAAAACTTGGAGAGTTGAGTTAAAGGGAAATAACTGAGACATGCGGAAGAGGCATGGCACATGGAACTAGAACAATCTACCCTAATGGTTGAAATAAAGGGTTCAGTTTGAAATTCCAATCACCTGAAGAAGGCTGGAGTGTACAACGGGCAAAATGTCATGATGAGGACAACAGTCCGAACAATGTAAATAGTATAAATAATTACAATACCTCATCTAAGAAATAGACAGATATTTTTGTACTTGGTCCTTCTTGACATCATTCTGTCAGATTTAATCCATATTTTCAACTCTGTAATTCTTACTCTGTGTGGAAGACCACCCCACTGGACATGATTGTTATATATGAGATTATTTAGAAGTAAATCAACAAATTGATGACATATTACTGCTTGGTTACTGAGTCTTTTGTTTCTTTTTTTATCAATTTGCCCCAAGCAAGGCAATAATGCTACTAAAACACAAAGGGCTGCTGGGAGTAAAAGAGAATGAGAAGAATTTAGAAGGAATTGGAAACTCAATCCTGAACAGGAATCAATGAATAAATCTCTACTTCTGTTCTAAAGACCGGTGAGCAAGGTGAACTAGTCCATAGGTGACCATATCTAGGCCTATTGAAAGGACAAAATAAAAATAAATAGCAAATAAAATTTCAGAGTTTAAGTATAGACTTTAGAAGGACCCAGAAACTCAATCCTAAACAGGAAACAAGGGATAAATCTCTACTCCTGTTCAACAGACAGGGAAGGAGTGTCCTTGCAAATTAACCAAAGAGTACAAATACTTCCAACTGAGTTTCAAAGTCTTTTCTCCCCATTCCTTCATTGTAGTTTTGAAAATGAGAAAACCCAACTTAGAGAAATAGGTTTTCCACATTTTTAAAATTTTGATAAAATCAACAAAGATGACAGTAATGGTTTTAACAACTCTCCAAATGTATTTTTTTCTTTTTAACAAAACCCCTAAAACTTTTTTCTTGTTAATTTAAATTTATTTGTGTAATACCTCATCAGAAATCATGATTTTTGTTTACTCTTCAATTCATTTTAACTTATTAAAAATTTTCCCCCTTTTGCTTTTCTCTTAAAATTACTAATATATGGTTAGATGCTGAAAAGTTCTTCACCTCACCCAAAATCAGTATATCAATAACCAAACATTACAATGCTGATTTTGGGAAGTGGGTCTCTACAGTAACTTTTTGGTACCCCATGTAATAATATAAATGACTCATAAAACATATGCGAAATAATAATTGGTCATCATCTTTTTTTTATTAATCATAAATTAAAAAGACAAAAATAAAACATGAATTGTAATATTTCAATGTATTTACTTTCATCATATTTAAACAAACTAAAATAGTGATGAGAGAATTTTCAACATTCTCCATTATCTGTGGATAGGTTAAAAACAACACCCTGAAATACCACAATTCATTTATATTAGTTTTGTCACCTTAATGTAATATTTAATTATTTTTAAGTTAATGTTCAGAGTTAAATTTCTCAGTTGTCTAATGAGAAAAGATTTAAAAAAATATATATATGTTTGTATGTGTGTGTGTGCGTAACAAATTAATAATAAAATCAGCAGGGAGGAAATGAAAAATCCTCTACTAATGTTGATATCCACTCAGAAATAGAAGCGTCTATCACTTCTATCTCAAACCAATATGACTAACTTTCCCAGTATATTACTGGTGTTATTTTATCATTCTCACTAGGGTGAAATATTCAGAGACTTGTTTCTCTGGGTGAATTCCAAGCCTGGTACCCTATCAACTGAGCTCCCAAGCGCCATTATTAATATATATGTCTGTGTATCTATCTATCTATCTCTCTCTCTCTCTCTCTCTCTCTCTATATATATATATATATATATATATATATATATATATATATATATATATTAATCTAAATATATTATTAATATTATATATAACTGCTCCCTCCTTTTTTTATTTTCCTTACTGGGCTTAAAATCTAAGTCTTGTGTTAATAGCTGTGAGTTTTTATGTTATTGTGATGCTTTTCAGTGGTATCTGCTAAAAGGTCTTTTATTTTTTTTCTTCTTATATCAGCCATATTTCCTAAAATAAGTGTCCCTACCATAAAGAACTAATTTTTAATATCCACCTCATATAAGTGTCCCACCACCAATTATAAAGAAAATCTTCTGTTTTTAATTCTGAATAGCTACTCCCCTCCAAACACATAAAAAATTTGCTTATATCAACATACAGGTAAAGGAGGGAGTAAAAAAAAAAAGTACACATTTTGGTATGACTATTTAAAAATAATAGAAACAAATGGTGTTGATTTTATTTGCATTATTTACCCGCTGACTATTGTTATCATCACAACGTTTCGGCCATTGTGCCTTCAGGCCTTCATCAGGTGCTTGCTAATCTGGATAAGTTTCAAGGAATTTCAAACTGAATTCTTTACTTAATCTACAGGGTAGATTGTTCTCATTCTGCAGCCTGTGTCTAAGGATCTGTCATCTAGTTCTTATTTGGTATTACTAAGTTCATTTTTGCTGAGTTCATAAACAATAACTGAGCACCAATAAATGAGAACTAGACGAGATATCCTTAGACATGGGCTGTGGAATGACAACAATCTACTCCTGTACATTTAGTAAAAGATTCAGTTTGAAATTCCTTGAAACTTACCCAGATTGGCAAGCACCTGATGAAGGCCGGAAGGCACAATGGCCGAGACATTTTGATAACAACAAGGATCAGGACAGTAGTCTGCATCTAAATAATGATAACTCCTCATCCCAAAATTTTAGACAGGTTTTGATTTTATATTTATTTTGTAGAGGGTAAATTATTTTTATTATTACAAATTTAAAAATTATTTCATTTGTAAAGGATAAATAATTAGTTGTCCTCATTGCTACACATATGGGTGAATTTGTTTTG